GCCCAAAAGCACCACTTTTGTGACCAGTGCAGCACCTCCCTCCCCAGCAGCCCGGCCACCCCCACTTGATTCCTCCAAGTGAATGTCTTCTCCCCTTGACGGCTGATGCGTCCATGGCATCGGGCCAGGCCTGCGGGGCCCATGCCTCCCATCTCCCTGAGAGTGCGGCCGGCAAACACATCCTTCTGACTCCAAAAGCACTGCATTTCCCAAAATCCTGATGTCCTATTTCTTCTGAGATTGCATCTAGGGATTGGGCGCGAGGGGAAGAGAGAGCGCCCAGCACTGGAGCTCAGTGGCCGCTCTGGGGAAGGGGCCTGGCGGAGCAGGAGGGGTCTAGCGCCCAAAGGCAGCGGGCCAGCTTCACAGCTTTCCGTCACCCACGCAGAGCGGCTCCGTTCAGATAACCAAATCCCTACTGGTTTTCTAAAGTGCTGAGTGCTGAACAAGACAACAATTTAAACAAAATTAGACTCAGGCAGGTACTTAAGAAAAAATTAAAAGTTCATTATTTAGGTGACTTTGACCCAAATCCATCCCACCCATATTTTTCTTGAATGTTTTTAGGGGGATGAGAGGATGACTACATTTCACCCCAGGCAAAAAGACCCTCCCTAAGTCCCTCCCTTACCATCTCTCTCTCTTTCGCCCGAACTTCCACTTCCCAGGGCAGCTGCCCCTCGCCTCTCCCTCCCGTCCCTTCCCCCTCCCTCTCTGCCTCCTCTGCTCCCCTCTTTCCTGTCTGTTCTAGGTCTTTCTAGTTCCTTTCACAGTTGCTTCTCTGGGCTTCCTCACACATCACCCCAAGGGAGGAGCTTCCCAGAGCCATCCTTTTGGTGGTAAAATAATGACTAATTTATTTTTTCTCCTGTAATTCCTATAATTAGTCTCCACTGCTAAATCATAAGGATTAAGCATACATCTTGTTCAAATTTATTGTCCCCTCAGCAATGTTTTCCACACATTTTAAATTACAATCACTATCAGAAATACCATTAACATCATGACCCAGTATATCAGGATTGGTGGGTTGCTTTGGTTGGGTTCCATTTTGATTCTGAATATCATTAAAATAAATGTCTCATAAGACAATTATTTCTTACTGCTTAGAATATACTCAGATAATGTCTCTTCTTTCTTATTTCATTAAAGAAAAAAAATCTGGTTTCAATGAAATTGATTTCCTGACCCAATAACCTGCTGGGAAAAATCTCTGCCGTGTAAGGCTTTTCATGGGACTGTGCCTATATGGCAGGAATTTCATAAGTTTGTGTTGAGGGCACTCCAATGCACACCTGTTCCAAAATTAATAACTATTTAAAATGTTCTTCTAATGTTGTCTAATGACAATATTCTTCCTCCATATATTCAGATGCAGGAATGTCTCACAACACGTCCACCTATAGTTCTTCTCTTAACCTCCAGTTTATACTCGTAAGACCCGATGACTCCCCGCCAAGCATCCTCCCGATTTCCTTGGAACCTTTGCTCATGGCAATTCGAGATGAGCGTTACACACTGGGGAAACAGATCTGCATCTGGGGCTTTCAACTGAGCAACCCGGAGATTGCCAGACTTGTGAGTCATGCACTTTAAAAATGTTTAATCAGTTCATCTTAAAAGTGAATATAAGCATATTATGTCATGTACTCCAGCTATAATTCATTTGATTTTCAACTAACATATGCCAAGGTTTTCTTTTTTTTAAATAACACACAAAAAAAACCAACAATGTATTTTTAACGAAGCATTTCAGACAGAAAAGTGCAAAAAATAATAGAACTGACATTCGTGTATATTTCATGAAATATACTTTCTAAGGAATAAAAATTGCGGATTTTACAAATACAATAGCTAAAGCTTCCTCTGACTTCTTTCCCCCCATCTACTTCCCAGAGGTACCACTGGCCTAAAGTTGATGTGTGTCAATCTACTGCTTTAATGATGCTCTCAAAGGGAAAGCTGGTTTCAGCGCCCTGCATACTCCTCTAGGTTCGCACCTTGTCTCATTCATTGACCCTTGGGGATTCCTCACTTACCTGCCAGTCAATCAGTGCATTTTAAAATGATACATTTTTTAACACTCTGAGAAGAAAGCATAGAAGAAAAGCTTTATGATGTTGGATTTGGCAATGATTTCTTGGATATGACACTAAAAGCATAGGCAATGAAATGACTACATCCACATTAAACACTTCTGGGCATCAAATGACACAGTCAACAGAGTGAAAAGGCAATCCACAGAACGGAGGAAAATGATTGCGAATCATCTGCCTGATAAGGGGTTAATATCCAGGATCCACAAAGAACTCCTACAACTCAACAACACAAAACAAACAACCTGGTTTTAAAAATTGGCAAAGGAGTTGAAAAGGCATTCTCCAAAGAAGATATAAAAAAGACCAATAAACACAATAAAGATGCACACCATTATTAATCACTAGAGAACTGCAAGTCAAAACCACAATGAGGTACAGCCTCATGTAAACTAGGATGGTTACTATTTTTAAAAAAGCAGGAAATAACATGCCAGTGAGGATGTGGAGAAACTGGAACCCTTGTACCCTATTGGTGAGAATGTAAAATGGTGCAGCCACTGTGGAAAACAGTATAGAATTTCCTCAAAAAATTAAAAATAGACTTACCATACAATCCAGCAATTCCATTTCTGGGTAAATGTCCAAAAGAATTGAAAGCAGGGTCTCAAAGAGATATTTGTACACTCGTGTTCATAGCGACACTCACATAGCCAAAGGTGGAGACAACCCAAATTGCCAGGCAAATGAAGAAACAAAATGTCGTGCAGACACACAATAGAATATTATTCAGCTTAAGAAAAATTCTGACACATGCTACAACATGGACCTTGGAGAACTTAGTCTAAGTTAAATAAGCCAGTCACCAAAGGACAAATACTAAATCATTCCACTTATATGAGGTCCCCAGAGTAGTCAAATTCAGAGACAGAAGGTAGAATGGCAGTTGCCAGGGGCTGGGGGGAGGGGAGAAAGAGTGTCGTTCAATGGCCACAGAATTTCAGCTTTGCAAATGAAGAAAGCTCTGGAGGTGGTCAGTGGTGATGGTTGCACAGCAGTGTGAATGTACTTAATGCTGCTGAACCGTACACTTAATGATTCAGATGGCACGTTTTATGTTATGTATGTTTGGCCACAATTTAAAAGTAAATTTTATTTTATTTTATTTTATTATTAGGAATATATCTTTATTGATTTCAGAGAGAGGAAGGGAGAGGGAGAGAGAGAAACATCAATGATGAGAGTCATTGATCGGCTGCCTCCTGCACGCCCCCGGCTGGGGATCGAGCCCGCAAGCCGGGCATGTGCCCTGACTGGGAACTGAACCAAAATATCCTGGATCCTCGGTAGATGCTCAACCACTGAGCCATGTTGGCTGGGCTAAAAGTAAATTTTAAAAAATATTTGAGCCCTAGCCTGTATGGCTCGGTGGTTAGAGTGTCAGTCCACGGACTGAAGGTCCTGGGTTCAGTTCCAGCCAAGGGCACGTACCTTGGTTGCAGGCTCAGTCCCCAGCCCCGGTTGGGGTGCTTGTGGGAGGCAACTAGCAACCAATCGATGCGTCTCTCTCACATCGATGTCTCTCCCTCCCTTCCACTTTCTCTGAAAAGCAATGGAAAAAAATATCCTCAGGTGAGGATTAGAAAAATAGAAAATAGTTGAAGTATATAACCAGAATTTTTAGTTGTTTTTATGCAGAGGGTCAGTCAGGATACACAGTGCATTCAAGCCAGAAATAGAATGCTGCCCTGCATGTTAAAAGCTACCCTCACAGTCCCTTAACATGTAGCCCTCTTGGTGACAGGAGGCTGCTGAGAAAGTCTGTCGCAGCTGGCTGCGGTCTTGCCCGCAGCGGGGCTCATGCCCAGGGAGTGAGGCAGCAAACCCTGTTGGGATCCCCAGGCCCCGGCAGAGCCTGTTCTGCACGGACCAGCATGAGCGTGGGCGGGGACGTGCCACATTGGCTCCCGCGTCAGAAACAGCGGGCGACCTCCAATCCAGCCCTCGGGCTCCGTGTTCTCTCATTAAAGAGGCCTCGGGCACCAGCTCTACAGTTGAGGTTGCAAGTGCTTTTTCATTCTCAGCAAGGTATAATCTGGAACCCTATCTCTGACCAATGTGTCATTGCCTCAAAAAACCCCAAATCCTCCAAACCTCACCAAAGTCTCTCTTAGGCTTAAATTCGGAACTGGAGGAACCCTTGGGTCATGGTGATCCTAAAAGGCTGCCTTCATGATTTTTAGCTTTAAATACCCCGCCCTACAGGAAGGTAGGGATTTAACTGTGCCTGGGATCATTCGTCACCACAAGAAATGACCTTGCCATTGACCCTTCCGTTCAGGAACCCAGAGAACTGGGGACGGCTTCAGACGCTCACGTGTCGTTCCCAGTCCAGCTGCTTCAACGTGAGCGGCACCTAGTTGCTGGACTTGCACAGCCTAGTTCTGAACAGACCTCTGAATCCTAATAATATCTATAACTATGAAATTGAATCATTGATGAGATCATTTAACTATTACAACTTTATCTAATTATAAGACTGGCGCAGCAATACTTCTCTACTATGAAGAGCCCAAGCACAGAGGATAAACATTTGGCGGGCAGCATATCAGCATCTGTGTTCCTCTGCTAGCGCTGCCTCAAAGCGCCACAGATGGCACTGCTCAAACAACAGGAATTTATTTTTTCACAGTTCTAGAAGCTAGAAGTCTGAGCTCAAGGTGTCAGCAGGGCTGGTTTCTTCTGAGGCCTCTCTCCTTGGCTTATAAATGGTCACCTTCTCTCTGTGTCTCCACATTGTCTTCCCTCTGCACATATCTGTGCCCAAATTCCCTTTTCTTATACGGACACCAGTCAGATTCCATTAGGGGCCACCCTAACGACCTCATTTTAACTTAGTCACCTGTTTAAAGGCCCTATCTCCAAATAGAGTTACATTCTGAGGTACTGGGGGTTAAGACTTCAACATATGAAATCGGGAGGGGAGGGACAAAATTAGGCCATAATCACATCTAAAAAGATATGCTACAACATATCTTATCATAAAGCTTGGTGTTTCTCATATAATTCTTCCATGAGTCTTCATTTTTAAGGGAAATTACTTTATTTTCATGCCACCTTCTCCTTGGGTAATTAGAAAGCTATCTCGGAGGCAAAAATGTTGAGATAATTAACGTAAGTTACTTTTAAGTAACATAAAACACAGAGCAAATCGGTCCTTATTATGAAAGCAGTTTTGCCTTGCGCTCTTAGGCTTCGCTTCTGGAGTTGAAGGGGCGCACAGCCTGCCCACTGGCCACCCTGGAGCTCATCGACTGCAGGATGGATCCGTGGGCTCTAGGGAGACTTGGGCAGGCTCTGCAGTGCAGCAGATTGCATTCTCTTGTCCTCGATTACTGCAGGTAAGGCCCTTACTGCTGTCAGCTGGGGGAGGCAGGGGCGGGGAAGGCAATGTCCCATTTCCTTGTGTCTCATCAAGTCATCACTGGAAGGGGACACTTTCAAACCTCCTTAGAGTTAATGCTCCTGAGTAGATGTCAGGGTTCTCAAAAAGAGTCGATTCATTCATTTATTCTTTCAACAAATACTTTGTCCAAGGCCTGCCTGTGCAAGACACTGTGCTCATTGCTAAGGAAGCTGCGAATATACATAAGGTGATGCTGCTGGCCAAGGGAGTCCTCAGGGTAGCAGAGGAGAGGAGGCTGCTCTTCTTGATTATGCAGAATGTAAGGTTGAATCTGAACATCACAGAAGATGNCGCTCTTCTTGATTACGCGGGATGTAAGGTTGAATCTGAACATCACAGAAGATGTCCAGATAAATTTTAGCAGTAGTTTGGATAAAGGAAACCACAGTTCTTGAGGTGATGGGATTCACCAGGAGAGGAGGTGGGAGGAGAGGTATGGGGCTGGGGAAGAGCAGAGCAAGTCCTTCAGAGGCTGGGCACCAAGCATGTCAGGGGGGCTCAGGAGGCAATAATAATAATAAAAATAATAATGCCAGCTAACGGTGCTTGAATGCTTACTGTGTGCCTAGCACAGTGNAATGCCAGCTAATGGTGCTTGAATGCTTACTGTGTGCCTAGCACAGTGTATGAATTATCTCATTTACCCTCCCGATGATAGATATCTATCTACCAGGGCATATAGATGTATGACTTGTAATGCTAGGAATGTACTATTTTTAATCCTTGATATAGATGAGGAAAGACTCAAGGGATTAATTGGCTTATTCAAGGCTGTTCAGCTCTTAGGGATGGAGCCTAGATGTGAATCCAGCTGTCTGAATCAGAGTCCACCTCTGATCCATGATCCCAGATTGCTGGGGGTCTATAATTTACCATCCATAAATAATTTCAAGCCGTTCCTGTTATCTGGGGTAGTCATGCCACCTCTGTGACCTGTAGCGAGATGATCTCTTCTGCTTCCCACGTCTGTGATTCTTTGGCTCTACCCAAGGAGCCACCGGGTGGTGCCTTGTACTCAACAGGCCAATAGGCTGTGAAGTGGAAGAGATAATTCACACCTGAGAAGTGGTGCCACAAGACAGAGGCCCCAGTGGAGAACTAGGGCCCTGGCGGCAGCAGTGGGCAAGTCCATCAGCAAAAGGTGGGGAGGGGGAGTATTCTGTGGGAGGTTCTCCAGGTTTCTGAAATGCTGGAGGAGCCTTAGTCAAGGTCTCCAAACACAGAGCAGCAGGAGGCAGGGTCCTCAGGACGCCATGAGTGGCTGCGGGCTCGGCTTGGGAGTGTTCCCAGTCTCCCACACTGCACTGGGCAGAACCAGCCCCATCACTAAGAGACTTCCCCCTAGACCCCAGCTCTTGCGCTGGACCCAGAAACCTGCACGGGTGGGAAGAAAGAAGGGATTCCCATCTCTAGACCTGTCAGGGCTGGGCAGTCAGGAATCACCACCAAGACCTCAGCACTGGTAAACTCGCAGGTTACTGGCCTCGGGGGCCCGGAGTGCTTTCCTCGCTGACTCCCCTGATGGGCTGGGAAGCCCACCAGGCAGGAGGCCCTTCTTTCTCATCCACAGCTGCATCCCATACCCACCAATGTAACTGGCCCTCAAAAATTATTGTTGAATAAACAAATCTTAAAAGTTATTTCTATTAATACTACTCACCTCATTTTAAAGTTCAAGCTGACAATCCAAATTCCCTCAAGATGTCCCTTTGCCTCACTAATCCCAGCATGCCGACCGAATACCTGCCCTCAGAGGCTGTTGCTGGCATGAACGAGATGCTGTAATTGCTTTCACCCTGCAGCAGCCTCTAAGGACAGTGCAGTCCCAGGGGAGGAGCAGCGCAGGGCCACGGAAGGAGGGCCAGGAGGTTGGGCTTGCCTGAACCCACTCTGGACATACTTTAAAAGGCCCCTCCTCAGAGTCCTGGTACCATTGAGTCCTCCCGGGCTCCTTCATGCCTGCCAGCTGGGCCATCCCCGGTGACTGCAGGGTTCAGAGCTTGCTCGCCATCTGCTCCCTTGAATGGGTATCAAACCATCCGCTGCTCCCTTTGCTGAGAAGGCAGACTCTAGGTCTCCCTTCCTCTGCACACAGGCGACCCCCTCTGTCGACCCAGCCACCGTAGAGTGGGCCCCGACCCTGGAAGCCCAAATTAAGGATCAGCAAAAGTGCCTGTGACTGCCCTACGGGTGCCTGAAAATTACTAATCTAGTGGGTGACATAGGTTTTAAAAATCATTAATTTGTTGCTGTCATTTCTTTTTAGATTTGAAAATGAAGACATTGAGAGCATTTTCTTAGGCCTGGAGAGCAACCGAAGGCTTCAGGGACTCAGCCTGCGCTACTGTGGCCTGGGGCCCCAGAGTGGGCCCCGCCTGGGCTCCGTCATACGCCACAGTGCCATCTGGTGAGAGGTGACCCCCGGCCCCCACCCGCACCTTGGCGCTGGTCTGTCTGGAGTTATATAACCAGGTTATTTAGGGAGCCTACTAGACCCAAGTTCCCTGATTTTTCACTATATTTCTAATATCTTTTCATCTCCTCCAGTTATTTTTGTTTTCTTCCTCTTAATTATAAGAGCAAGATCCTTTACTTACATTTGCACATCAGGGGTGTTGTGCTAAATGCATGTCTCTGGCCAGCTAACAGGGTCATCGGGTTTATTTTTTATGACATGGGTCTGTTAATTCTCATGGTCATTTATTATTTTATGAGTAGGTCTAGTATTATCATTTTATTTTGTGAGTGAAACCTCAAATCCAGATTTGAGGAGTGGAAATAACATCAAGTGACCCGTGTTCTGGCCCCTTCCCCAGCGAGCTGCACCTGGATGGCAATTACTTGCAGTGCTCCGGAGCGCGGGCCCTCCTCAGGCCTATAGCCGAGCACGCAGAGATGCGGGGCAGAGGCCCGCCGGCCACAGCCTCACCGGACTCCCCGGGTCCCCCTCGCACACTCCCAGGTAAGCACTGAAGAAATGCATCCTGAATTCTGTTGGGGCTGCCTGGAAGGACAGTGCTTTTCCATGAGAAGTGACCTTCCCAGTGGTCAATCGAGATTCTTCTTCCAGAGAATGTGTGAGACAGAATAATGGACCTCCCCAAATATCCTTGAGATTATCTGCAGATTCGGATCTCCAGAATCTGTGACTATGTTACCTTCATGGCAAAAGGGACTTTGCAGATATGACTGAATTAAGGATCTTGCTATGGGGGATTATCCTGGGTTACCTGGGTGGGTCCAGTGTCATCACAGGGATCTTTATAGAAGGAGGCAGGCCCTGGCCAGTGTGGCTCAGTTGGTTGGACACTGTCCTACACGCCAAAAGGTTGCCTGTTGATTTCCAGTCAGGGCACATGCCCAGTCGGGCTCAGTCCCTGGTAGGGGGCGTGCAGGAAGCAGCTGATCAATGTTTCTCTCTCTTGTCCTCTCCCTTTCTCTGAATCTCTAAAAAATCAATTTAAAAAATATTTTTTAAAAAATAGTTAAGCAGGGTTTTACTGGCTCACATAACTGGGGTGTCTACAGGTGGTGTGATCTTCAGAGATGGTTGAAGTCAGGGGTTCAAACCATGTCGTCAGGAGAACCTGACTTTGCTGCTCTTGACACTACTTCCCTTCTGAGGGTTGGCCTGTCCCCATGCAGACATACTTCCTCGAGCAGAAAACAGCCATTGATGTATCTGCCAGCAGTCACAGGGCTTTGTCATCATGACCTGTAATCAACCAGAAAGTGTGAGTCTCTTTCTTCCGGTGACTGTGGGTCAGACCCCACAGGAAAGCTCTAATTGGCCCTCTTTGGATCACATACCTTGGACCAAGCCCTACAGCCCAGGCCGTGGTAAACCACAATAGGTCAGGACTGATCACACTCCCCTTGGGGGCGTGGGGTGGAGCACTGTGCCTGGGTGTCCTACCAGAATCACAGGCTCTGCAGTGAGGAAGCAACAGTCCCCCAAAAAAGTAGATCGATGAGGGGAACAGATGCAAGACAGATGAGAACCAACAGCTGCTTACTTCTCTATAAAAGGGTTATCATTTATCTTAATAGATCCCAATACGCATATTCATGACATATTTTAAAGCTGACTATTTTAATCATTGGTAACATTAGCACAGACTTAGAGTTAGACCTGGGTTCAAATCCTACTCCAACTGTGCATGACTTAGGGCGAATCATCATGTTGATCTAATTTTAGCCTCTCTCACTGCAAAATAAACATCATTATAACTACCCCATAGCGTTTAGTGAAGACTAAGTGATACAACGTGAAGCAGTTAGCATGAGGCCTTGCACATAGTAAGTACTTAAGGGTGTTAATCATCACCATCACCATCATCACTATCGTTATAGCAGCAACAACCGTTTCCTGTGAGAGTAAAATCTTGAAGCATGTTGCTGAACACTGTCACTCCACTTGCTGGAAAAAAGTGGAGATTAAGAGCTGAAGTCTAACGTAGAGCATGGTGACTATAGTTCACAATACTGTGCTGCGTATTTGAAAGTTACTAAGAGAATAGATCTTAAAAATCCCATCACAGGAAAAACACTGTGACAACGTGAGGTTATGGATGTTAACTAGACTTATTGTGGTGATCACCTCACAATATATACATATATTGAATCATTATGTTGTACACCTGAAACTAAGATAATATTACATGTCAATTATATCTCAGTTTCAAAAAAACATTATTCTCTGATTTGTCCTAAAAAAAAAAAAGCTAAAGTCAAGGCTACTTTGTGGAAATGAGCTCAAGCATGTGTAATGAACACAGATTCATAAATGCAGCGGTTACCGCCCATTTAGGAACTTCCATGGTTTCAAAATTATACAGGTTATTTGTTGAGTTTGATAATTCAGTCAACCCAATAAATATACAAAAGGAAGCTGGAAAACAGTGTTTGCTGTCAAATATTACTTTCCCTCTGCTGTTTTCTACAAAGATTCCTATAAAAAGCCATGGCTGGGGAGAGGCGCTGGCTACTTCTATTTGTTGAGCCTTCCTGATTAAAAAAAATTTTTTTAATTAATTAAGAACAAAGAAGATTTTTAAAATTGCATTATATTTGAAATCTTTTCATTTAACAAGTGAACTCTTCTAACACACATAAACACAGAGAATGCACTCCTAACCTCACTAGGCTGTGACACCAGAGTGTGAATGACTCCTACTGTGCACCANTAAATTGCATTATATTTGAAATCTTTTAACAAGTGAACTCTTCTAACACACATAAACACAGAGAATGCACTCCTAACCTCACTAGGCTGTGACACCAGAGTGTGAATGACTCCTACTGTGCACCATCCCCCACCCCAAGCCTCCCACTCCCCATCCCTTTGTAGGCCCTGGAGACAGTAAACCCCCATAGAGGTGGATAGTTTGAGGGACAAGTCAAAAAGATCAATACAATTATTCAACCATTAGCTTTTATATAATAGCTATGTTAGGGCCCAGGTCACAGTAACGCCTAACTACTTAAACCTGGCACAAAAGTACCAGACTTGCTTCTTTTGACCTTTGTGAGCTGTATATACTCTCCTGCCAGGCCCCCGGGGGATCCAGTGTCTTACAGTTTTCCAGGGAAAAGGTTAGAGCCCTTAAAGAACTGCAGGCTGCTGCCTTCGGTAGTTCTTGCAGTCACACTGATGAAATAAAATGTCCTCAGGGTCATTTTGGGCCAGTGTGTGAGGGGTGTAGTGAGGGATATCCCTGGTCCCTGTCCCAAAGAGTTTACCTTCTGGTCATTGTAGCTGTCTCAACAGAAGATGTGCCAGCTCTGTGTGGCATGCAAGGTGTGCTCCTGCCTTTAGGGGTGTATTAGTTTCCTAGAGCTGCCATAGTAAAGTACCACAGACCAGGTGGCTTAAACAACAGAAACATACTGTCATAGTTCTGGTGGCTGGCAGGCAATATCAAGGTGTTGGCAGGGTTGGTTCCTTCAGGGGGTTCTAAGAGAATGTGTTCCACGCCTCTCGTAGCTTCTGGTAGTTTGCTGGCAACCTTCGGTGTTCCTCGGCTTGAGATGCATCACCCCAGTCTTTGCCTTGGCATTCTCTTTTGTGTGTGTCTGTGTCCAAATTTCCCCTTTTTATAAGGATATCAGACCTCATCTTAAATGATTACATCTGCCATGACCCTATTTCCAAATAAGTTCCCACAAACGGGGTTAGGACTTCAACATATGAATTTAGGAGGAGACAGAATTCAACTCAAAACAAAGGACTCAGAATGTAGTTTAGAAACAGGATACACACCTAGGAAACAACATCAACAACAAAAGGCAGTGTCTGCCAAGGGCCAAATGTGGACACTGGGTTCAGAGAAGAGCATTCTCCCCCAGGTACAGAACAGGGGAGAAGTTTCTGTGAATGAGCTAGGAATTGCTCTGACATGGAAAGAAAGAAAGGACTTCATGAGGAAGGATATAAGTGAGGAAGAAAGGCCTCACCAAGGCAAGCCCAGCCCCCAAATATAGCTGGAACAAGAGGATGTGGAAGGGTGGACCTGGCAAGAGGTGTGGGACACGTTAAGGAGGACTTCAGGTGTCAGGCAGAGTGTTGGACAATCCAGTAGACAATGGGAGCCATTAAAGTCTTCTGTGGCCCATTAAAGTCTTCTGTGCCTCAAGCCAATAGAAACAACGTGTGTCGACTATATGTTTATTCTATAGCTTCTCATCAGAGCAGAGCATTTTCATGCTTTCACGCAAAGCAAATATAAAAACAGCTCCCCGCATTGGATAAATACTTTCAAAGTCATAAGGTATTTGGTTGGGAGTCAGTTTGGTCTCGGTAGAAGACTTCTACTTGTTTCTAAATAAAGAGTCAGGTTGAACTGTTATACATCAACCTCCTAGACAAGGGTCCAGATGGTTTCCATTTGCTCCCAATTGAAAACAGACAAACTATTTTTATGCTTGCTTCTTTGTGCACAGGAGGCTTTTGGCCTGCTGCTTGGAAAGTTGAACTCACAATACTGTGCCAGTCAAAATCTCCATTCAGAAGCCTGACACGCTTTATTGTTCCTCTCCAAATGCGGAATTACAAGAATTTGACAACATTACATTTAGCAGCCACGCATAAGTTATTAGAAGAGGCAAAATATTCTATTTCTATGCTAGAAGAAGTCAGATGTCTGTTTGTCCTAGCCAGCCCTGCTGCAACGCACCACTGAACATGAAGAATCTCAGATCAGTGTTCTCAGACTTGAGCAACATCAGAAGCACGTGGGGGGGCTTGTGAAAACACAGATTGCTCCACC